TGAGATTAGTTTTGTATGAAAAGCTAGCAGAGGGCAGGGGAAAGAAGAAGAGATTTTGACTCTTAAAGAGGAGAGAAGGCTTGAACCAGGCCAAGAAAAGCAAGTGTGAGAATTCCTGAGGCAGAGAGAAAGAAATTGTTTCTGGGTGGCTGAGGTAAGAGCTCCACAAGCTCCAACACCGTGAGACCAGCCTGCGCCATCTCCAGGGAACATTCTGTCCCAGACACCCCTTCAGTTTGGAAGAATCCATTGGTTTATAAGGTAACTCCCTGACTCTCATCAATGTACAGAGACACTGTCATTTTCAGATGAGTAGGACACTGTTGGGTTAGGGTGGGAATGGGAGGGGAGGGAAGTCTGATTTTGGCAAAGCAGAGTGTTTGGAACTTTAATTGCCACATTAGCAAGCTATCTTTAGTTAATGTATATTACACTGTTTGCAGAGAGGCCAAGAGGTTCTGAGGGGTAGGCAACACCGACCTGTCATCCCTGGGCGGCTCATTCCCTGGAGCTTCTTAGGTCAAGGGCTTAACACCCATATAATTTACAGCCCAGTTCAAAGCCACATGCCTATTCTCTGTCAGTGCCTGTAAAAACGAAAAATTTACCTCCAAACTGGAGCTAAGCTGAACTCTGTCGACCTGCCCATGTACAGAAGTTACAAATTCAACTTCCTCCCAAAATTTGAGAGGAAAATTATAGTTCAAATAATGTAATTAGAAATACTTTAAGAATATTGTAATATTTTGCATGTGTGAACTTTATCATATGCTGGGCATTTATACATAATACTCATTATGGGATTGGGTTAGCAAAGCCATGTATTCTGTAATTTATGGAAAATTCAAGGGATTTTCAAGGGTAATTTTTTTATCACATTTTTTTTTCCTTGATACACAGAATTTAGGACCTAACTGTGGCAAGACATGATTCTGCTATATGTTACGTGTGCCCTACACCTTTGTATCACATATTTGCTTCGTGCCCACTTTTTTTATTTAGCCTGACAGATTGCTGAGATCAGAGCCTGTCTTACTGCTTTAAAATATTAATTGCAACTTGTAATGTCTAGTTTTGGTTTATCGAAGCAAAATTGATGGCAAACTTCAAAATGGCAGCTTGGAAAAGAAACCCTCTTGGTTTTTGACAATTTATTCATTTATATTAGTTCAGAAGTCACATATTTCCATGTCTGGAGAGCCTGACAGCATGGAACACACAGTCCCTGAGACCTCCCTCCTGAGTTTGGGGGCCCCTGTTCCCAGCTGCTTTCTGGGTATGCTGCAGACATTTCACAACAAAACAAGAATTTACCTCTCCTCGTCCTATGCTCCCTATACCTAACCTTTTGCAAAGCCAGAAATCTCACCTAGACCTCAGACGGAGCAGAGCAATGTAACTGGGCTTGGGTTTGAATCCTAGCTCTGTCAGTTCACAATTATGTGACCTTAGGCAAGTTCCATGATGACCTCTTTGTGCTTCAGTTGCCTAATGGGTCAAATGGGGATAACAATGGGAAAGACTTCATGGGATTTCTGTGAGTATTCTTGAGGTATTGCATGCTAAAGCACTAAGCATAGTGCCTAGTACAGAATACAAACCAAACTAAACTCACTGCCATCGAATTTGGTCCCACTCATAGCGACCCCTCCTTGGGGTTATGAGGTGGTATCACTACCAAAGTAGATTGCTCACTCTTCCTTCTGAGGAGTGGCTGGTGGGTTTGAACTGCCAGCCTTCTGATTAGCAGTCAAATGCCTTAGGCACTATGCCACCAGAGCTCCCCAAGTACAGAGTGTTGTTGTTGTCATGTGCCCTGGAGTTGGACTCGACTCATAGCGATCCCTTGTTGGGTTTCCAAGGAAGTATCACTACGGAAGTAGACTGCCCAACCTTTCTTCTGAGGAAGTACAGAGTAGATGTCTACAAATGGCAGCTAATGCTATTTCCATTATCCATGACGTCATTATCATCAGTTTCAGCTCTTCACTCTTTACATCCTCCCCCTCCCTAAATCCAACTGATTCGACGCTGACTCCATCTGTCTCTCCATTTCCATCCAGGTCCTCATTTCTTGCCTGGATTATCACAAGTGTTCTCTCTGGCCTTTCCACCTTTCATCATTCTGGCCAATCTCCTCCCCAAATTCTACTTCACCACTACTACCAGCACCCATTACTCATGGGCACAACCATTCTTTGGTGATTATCCTTTCATACATATTCCCTCTGCTTGGAAATCCTTTCATTCTTTATGTGGAAATAGTCGAGGCCCAGTTCAAATTGTATAGCCCCAGTAAAATGTTCCACAGCCAGCCTTCCATGGCCTCCCTGCAGTGGGTTCATTAGCCTGAGATGTGTTGTCTTGGCCCACACAATCCAGCACACTCAGGACCTCACTAACTTCTTTAGCACCACTGTCCACATCACATCGCTGTGCTTTGTGTTCTCCCTACACAACACCCGCCTCTCCCGCAAAAAAAAAAAGTGGAGATTTTTTTTACATCCTGCAATTAGGCAGGCTTCTTACTACACAAGTGGTACGGTGGTTAAAGCATTCAGGTGCTAACCAAAAGGTCAGTTGTTAGAACCCAGCAGCTGCTCCACAGGAGAAAGATGAGGCAGTCAGCTTCTGTAAAGATTTAACCCAAGGTAGGCAGTTCTACTTGTCCTGGTCTATATGGGTCAGAATCGATTTGATGGCAGCACTTGTTTGTTTGTTGTTGTTTTCTTATCACACAAAGCTTTCTTCTGAAAAGTTTTCTGCCTTTTCCAAGCCCTCCACTTTGCATTCCCCCCCTAGTGTGGTTAACTCCTTCTAATCCTTGGGTTCTTTACTCAGTCACCTGACCTATTTATTATACAAGGAGCCCTGGTGGTGCAATGGTTAAAGTGCTGGACTGCTAACTGAAAGGCCAGGCCAGCAGTTCAAACCCATCAGCTGCTCTGCCGGAAAAAGCTGCTTCCCTAAAGATTATAAAAGTTGGCAATCTTATAGGGCAGTTCCACTCGTTCCTATAGAGTTGCCATGAGTCAGAATTGACTTCTTGGCAATGGTTTATTATACATACACCTTCTTAGCACCATGTACCTTTTTTTCTTTTCTTCACACCATTTCTCACAGTTGCAACGATACATTTATTTGTGAGACTGATTAATGTGTCCTCTAAAAATATAAATTTCATGAGGGCAGAGCCACCGGATCGATATTCCCAGAAC